CATACATTGTCCAGAACACGCGATCTTGCTAGAATAATTCATTGTTGACATCGAGAAAATGTTCAGAACTACGGATAAGTCTGTCTCCAAAAAAAAACTAAACTACAAAGACAAGGGACTAAGGGCATCGCGCGGGATTACCCATCATGCACTCGATATTATGATATTTAGATATTTCAACAATTCTCATAATTTTTGAAAAAGGCTGTATAGATTGTATATTGTATAGATTGTATATAGATTGTAATGTATCCACATATTGCAAAATAAACCTATTGACAATAATTTTGCAAAAAGGTATATAGAACGTGACTTGGAGTGAGGTCATATTTTTATAAATCTCTGATTCCAGTTTATGTTTTACACTTGTGTCATTTGACTATTGCACTTGAAGAGTTAAGTTTTATTTCACAGGTACAATTACTTGACTGCTCTAGGGAATGACCCTTTTTAAATTGATTCCAGTTTTAATATGTTTTCACATTGACATTCATTGTAAATAAAAGCAATAACTACAAGAAACAAACTTTTTGTTATCTAATTCTTGTAAGTTTTCTGATATAGATTTTAAAAAAGACAAACAATAACAGGACAGGCATTTAATATAGAGTCTCAAAGACAAATGAAGATTTTAGCGTGGAATTAACAAATGAATCTTTTTTTTTTGCTGAAACAAGCAAACTAGTGTTACGGAATTCCTGTGGTGAGAGACAAAAAAGGAGCTATATTTTACTAAAACTAATCTAATTTTAGAAAGTCGATAGAAACGATAGTTTATTAAAAGGATATTTTTCTTATAGAATATAAATGACAAATGAAAGCTACAAGTAGTCCAAGGACATTGAGTTGTTAAAGGCACAAGATGAGTCACTCTGGTGTCTATCAGAAGTAAAATTTAGCAACATAAAACCTTAATCACAGTTTACCAAATCCTTTTCCAGCGTAGAGGTCAGGCCACCATATTAGCTCGAACTCTCTTGTTGGACGGCCATTCGCTTCTTTGATTAAAATGGTGCTCTGACTTCTAGGACGGTGAACGTGATCAGCTCGACGTTTGGCAGCCTCCAGAGAATCCTCAGCACTTATATCTACTGTATTGTCGACTTCCTCTACCTTATTATCTCTCCACCTTGCGCTGTGTAAGACCTTATGGTTTCTCGATGAAAAGGCCTGACATACCAATTCCATATCGTATACCTTATAGCTAATTTTTGTTGCCTTCTGTGTCATTATGGGTGCTCTCCAATGGCTGGAAAATTTAACCGAGCTAGGCAGGGGTCGTCCTAGTTCCGCCAATAGATGTTCCACGTAGTGAATGGACACATAAAAGAACTCGAGCTTATGCCATTTACCTTAAACATAAACATAACCCTTTAAGTATTCGGTTAACGATATTTATCATATAATTATCTATGAAGTATCTATATTTCTCCATTTCGTAAAATTGATGTTATCAGTTCACTAGTGAAAATAACACATTCGAGGTTTCTCTATATACGGGAAAATTAATGAATATGCGCATAAATAATGAGCTGCATGAAAATGAGGCTAAGGACGATRGGCTCGAACATTCAAGATGGCGGATGTACGGGTCGAGTCGCGAGATCTGAGTTTATTGCCGGATTTTTCGTTTACATTTGTGGAACAATACAGAAAAAAATGGGAGAAAAGCAGCGGAAGTAAAGAGCTATCCAAAGGAATAAAGTATTACAGTGAAAAGTTCATTCATGATGTTAAATGTACGTTAWATATTTATGATACATATTAAAATTCCAGTTAGGTACCAATTTTCTAACATTTCTTGAGTGATAGTATTGCCAGGTAGCGATAGAATTGGAATTCAAGCTAGGTGTTATCACTCACAACGTAAAAATGAGACTCCACACTCCATAAAAGTAAGTGATTTTGCTCAGAAAGTGTTAAAACTATCATTTTTAGCAGGATGTGATTGATAAYATCAAGTTATACAATGCAGATTACAATGTCCCCTAGTCAGCCAGAWGTTCTTGAGGCAGTCTGTAGCTGTAGTATTGGGCTTGCAGGAGCTTGTGGCCACATAATTGGAGTACTGTTCCAGYTAGCAGATTATAAAATGAAAGAGGTATTAATATTTTGAGTAGAAGATAACTATGCCAGAACAGTACAGTGTAGATAGAATAGTTRTGCAAATTTSTCTTTGCAGATCAAGTCTATTCCAATTGATATAGCAAAAACATCAATGCCACAAACTTGGCATATCCCTAGAGGGCCCAAGATAAAGGGCACAGAAGTATCAAATCTTTCTGCTAGAGGCTATAGTAGATTMACCCCATTGCAAGAAGCAAAACCCATTAAATCTACCTTGTATAATCCCATTAAAACTGAACTACCCCCATTGGCTGAATTCATGAAACATGCTAAAACAACAGCCCCAACTTCTCTGATACACACGGTAGTTGACCTAGAACAACAATCTATGGTTAAAACTAAGTATGGTGACTACCCCAAAGGAAGTCTACTGAGTTACCA